AATGGCACTCCCGAATTCGGCGTGCCACTAATGTTCGTCGGTGCCATCCTCGTCCCTACCGGCCTCTTCTTGTATGGCTGGAGCGCACAGTACCGGTTCCACTGGATAACGCCAAACCTAGTCGTGTATATGCTCTGCATCGGCTCGATCGTTGGATACCAGTACATCGTGGACTCGTACACACGCTATGCTGCTAGTGCGATTGGAGCGGCGACCACATTGGAGAGCTTGGCAGGCTTCGTGTTCCCCCTTTTCGCCCCCTATATTTATCAAAAGTGGGATTATGGCTGGGGGAATAGCATGTTGGGATTTTCGGCACTGGTCCTCGGCGTGCCCGCACCATTTCTGCTTTGGCGGTTCGGGAGCAGGTTGAGGGCCTTCGTATAAATACCCGATCCAGAAAAACAACATTAATAAACCCCAGACTCTCGCAGAAATCTAGGAGGCACCGAATTGACCGAACACATGTATACAAACGTCAAGTGCGAGCTTGAATCACAAAACACAAGTTGTATGCCAAATGATATTAGACAACGAAGGAGGCAGATAACACCCTGTTCAAGGCATTACGGAAGCAGGGGGAACCTCTTGACCTGTCATCAGAAACCATGGATGCAAAGTACAGTATAGTGGTGCCAGGATATCTATAAGTCTACCGCAATGGGTTGGTCACCGGAGAAGAGCATGGTTGATCTAGTCAGGGAAACTGGCATACGCCAAAGATAAACAGAGGAAACTTCTTAATTATTCTGTCTGCAGGAATACTAGGAGTGGCTGCTCCCAGAACTTGTATTCTCACAGGAGACCGAGGTGTGGTAAACTGGCACCAATAATCCGCAGGACTCCGAAACTTGGAAGGATAATGGTTCTTTTCAGGAGGGGATAGCTAGATTGAGAGAATGCCTCAAATCAGGAGGTATGGGAGGATTGAAGGAAGGCCCGAAGGCAATGCTAGGTATCGGTAAATACAGAAGATGTTGCGTAAAAAGGAAAAAAAAAAGAAGAAAGCAAATTCAGAGCCATGTCCTCCTTATCCTTCCCAAGCTGGCCCCACAAACCAGGGCAAGGGAATAACTAGAGGGCA